ACCCACGGGTGATGCTCGGGGCCTCCAGTGCCTTCCACGGCCGCCTGCGCCAGGATNGGAGAAGAGCCCCAGCAGAGAGGGAAGAACAACACTGCAGCAAAGATTGCAACAATAAGGTGCCTTAACTCACCACTGAGTGGCTGTTTCTGGTGGTTTCTGCTCCTGCTGGGCCAGGGCTCTGCTGTGTGGAATTGAGGAGAGCCTGGATTGGTTTTCAATGAGAAAATCCTCTTGTTTCAGCTGAAAGACAGCACTGGAGAGTATCCCAGGGCACCCAGACTGCTGGTGTGCAACCAGAGTCACCTGGGGAGGGTTGGTGTAAAATGAGTGCCCTCGGGTTCTCATCTGCCACATCTCACCCAAGGGTAAGTTTAGTGCTGAACCCTCTAATGTGTTGATAGAAAATCACCCAGCTCCACTAGCCCACTGTATTTCTTATTCCAAATAATGTGATTTTTCGTGCTTTTAATCTTTCAGATATCCCTGAGGGCTTTTCCAGCCACAAAAGCTGAGTTTTAGTAGCATTCTATTGAACTCCCAGGTTTCCAGCTCTTGTTTATTCCCAGTTTAACTGTGGACAAGGAGTTTCCCAGTGTGGGTAAGATAATAAATACATTCCGATAAGATAATAAGTACATCCTGTGATGCTTTTCAGGGCTGTGAGCTCTGGTTACAGCTCCAGGAGGGCAGGGGGAGGCTGTGGCTGCACTAAATGAGGCAGCAGCGTGCAAACAACCGTCTGCAGAGGCTCCTGCCCTGAGCTGTTTTGCTGAACTCTGTTCATCCAGTGCAGCCCATTGAAATGGCTGACTCTGCACAAAGCAAACAGGAAAATTGGTGTATGAAGCTGCACCTCACTTCTGGTACAATCCACAGGGAGAGGGTTTCACTTGCTGCCTTGCACCTCCCCGTGCAAAGTTTATGAAAAAAAAAATCCTCCACAATTTCTGTGTGTCCCACATCCTGCATGAAACGATCTGTGCTTTGTTAAAACTCTGAGTGCTCCTCTGTGAACATCTCTGTTTTTCTTCCTGGCTGCTCACAGAATCTCACAGTGGTTTGGGTTGGAAGGGACCTTAAAGATCATCTCATCTTATCCCAAAAATCCCGTTTCTATCCCAGGTTGCTCCCATCCGTGGCCTTGGGCACTTCCAGGGCGGGCACAGCTTCTCTGGGAATTCCCTCCCAGCTCCTCATCACCCGCACAGCCAAGAATTTTATTTTTTTCCTAATATTCCACCTACCCATGCTCCTAATGTGAAAATGCCCTATAATCTCGTGTCTGTCCACACTTTTCTTTTTCCTAAGCTAAATATCAAAGCAGCTCCATCTCAGGTGTACGTTGTACTATTAGTGTGTACGTTGTACTATTAGTACGTGTACTATTACGGTGTTACTGGTGGTACTATGAGTACGTTGTACTATTAGTACGTAACACCTGTGGTTACTATTAGTACGTTGTACTATTAGTACGTGTACTATTTTGTGTACGTTGGTCTCTGGGTTTGTATCTGACTTTGCTAATGCTGGGGCTCAGGAGGTGAAACTGAAATGCATAGATGTCCTTTTTCAATGATGTCTGAAAAAAACACGTACAGGTGTTACTGAGGCTGCTGGAGGGCCAGCAAAGGTGAGGGAGGCACGATGAGACCTCAGATGAGGCAAATGCGCTATAAATGCTCACCAGGATGTGCTGAAATAGCAGGAGGATGAGCGTTTCGGAGCAGTAGGAGCCTGCACCCGGCCTGAACTGGAAAAGTAAGATCTGTATCTTGGTGAATACGCAGCTGAAAGCACTAATTATGAGAGCTGTAAAAGGCAGGTCAAGCCGCTCCCACCCTGCGCATTTCAAAAGGTAAAACTTGACGGGATGAAGGAAAAAAACCAACCCTGCGTTTTTGGGCGTGAGAGGTTGTTTTGACTGTAACTCATGAAAGGTGGAGGAACTTTTGTAGCTGCTTTAGTGTCCTGCTTAAACCGGGAATTTGGGATGTGGAAGGCAGCGGAGAGAATGGGCAGTGCTGAATGCCTGCAGTGAGAAGCAGCACCGGGATGTGAGTGGAGATTGCTGCCCTGCCACGGAGCTCTGCACAGGTTCTGCTCCCATCGGGAGTGAGGAGAGCAAAGGCTGGGCGTGCTCTGTGCTGTATCTCTGGGGCGCACACGGGTGATTGCAGCAGGTGTGGCAGCGATTTCTGTGTCCCCGGGCTGCCCCGAGGGGACACGACCTGGGGTGGCAGCTGGGCTGAGTACCCAGCTGGGTAATTTCACCTGGAGGAGACAATTTGGGGTCTGCAGCTTCCTCACAGGGGGAGCGCTGATGTCTGTGATCAGGGACAGGCTGGAGCTGTGCCAGCGGAGATTTAGGCTGGAAATCGGGAAAAGAGGGTGCTGTGTGACCGTGTTCACAGGGGTNGTGCCTGCCCCTCTCCAAGGAAAGATGCTGTGGCTCATAAATTGACATTTTGCATTTCCCAAGTTCAGGCAAGGCTGGGGAGAACTGGAAAATTAACAAATTTTTTTGTTGGTATTTAATTTATTTTATCGTTCATTTATTTCTTTCCTCCTCTGATTTCCACCTGTGAGGAGAGGGAGTGCGAGCTAGGGGGATATTCCTTGTCCTTCCCAGGTTTTCTTGTGGCCTGAAGGGAGATTTTGAGCATTTCTCAGTGCCCAAATGATGATCCCTCATCGTTCTTGATGCCCCCAACCTCGGGATTTCCAGCTCTGGTAGAACTGGAATGGATCCTAACAGTCCAATAAAACATTTTAGCTTGAATTCAGGCACAGCTTTACAGATGCTCAAACTGCAGTGGGATCCTCTTTCTCTGTGCTGGGGTCCTGCTTCAAAATGCTGAAAAAGGAGACAAAAATCAGCAAGTTTTAGCTCAAATATAACAACAACCAATAATCTGCAATCCAGTTAAAAGAATATTTGAGTGTGTAACTCACAGGAGCATCCTGTGCAGCACACATGGCAGATCTCACTGGGAAAGGCTCTTGTGCTCTCAGTGGTTTCATTCCCATTTTCAATTCAAAATTCTAGGAAAGGAGACAAAAATCAGCAAGTTTTAGCTCAAATGTAAGAACAACCTATAATCTATGATCCAATTAAAAGGATATTTGAGTGTGTAACTCACAGGAGCATCCTGTGCAGCACACATGGCAGATCTCACTGGGAAGGGGGAGAAATGGTTCAAAATGCTAGAAGAGGAGACAAAAATCAGCAAGTTTTAGCTCAACTATAAAAACAACCTATAATCCATGATCCATTTAAAAGAATATTTGAGAGTGTAACTCACAGGAGCATCCTGTGCAGCACACATAGCAGATCTCATTGGGAAGGGCTCTTGACCTGTCAGTGGTTTCACTCCCATTTTCACTTCAAAATTCTAGAAAAGGAGACAAAAATCAGCAAGTTTTAGCTGAGCTCTGGCTGCAGGGGAAATTTGGGTTGTTTTGGGGACACAGTGTCAGATTTTAAAGCAAACTGAGTCAGGGATGACACAGCCCTGACACAGCACAGCCCTGTCCTGTTACTCACTGCCAGCCACGAACTTGGCCCCAGCTCAGCTCCTGCCTCGCTCATCCTGTTCTGCACCTTCTGTGTCACATCACCCGAGTGTCCAGCACCACTCCCAGCCCGACCTGAACCCTCCTCATCCTCCTCATCCTCCCCTCCCTGCAACCCGCACAAACGGAGAGAGATTGGAAGAAGACTCCAGGACACTCGGCAAAACAATAGAAAAATAAACAAAAGGAAGAAAAGAAGATAAAGAGCACCAGCACCTCCCATCCAGCCTCATCCAGCTTTATTCTCCATCACCTCCGAGTCCCTCCTCATCCTCCTCATCCTCCCCTCCCTTCAATCCGCACAAAGGTGCTCCCTGTACTCCCAGCTGAGAGAAAGATTGGAAGAAGGCTCCAGGACACTCAGCAAAACAATAGAAAAAAATAGAAGTAAAGAAGATAAAGAACACCAGCACCTCCCATCCAGCCTGACCCAGCTTTATTTATGTGCAATCCGC